TGTAATAGTAATATATGTAATATAATTTCCATTATATTCTGAAACAATAACTTAGCAATAATTCAAGGCACCCTTAAATATACTCTAACCAAAAAGTGACAAATAAAGGAAAATTCCATATTTAAGAAATCATTAAAATTCAGATCCATACAAGATGATACGGAATGACGCCTACAGAATGTTTCAGAATCTCATGAATTGTATTTCGTAATAACTTCTAGTCTTGATATACCGGAGAGTTGGTATTAATTTATGATGACTCAATACTTAAAAAATATATAACTGCATTTTTATGCAACATGATAATGAAATTCCTGTGTAGGAAGGAAATGTGCACAGTGTTCTGTAATTAAACAAGAGTAACTGTATGCAAAATAGATTTAGAACATGAAGCAGTTAATATTTTTAAACATTTTTGTTTTTACTTTAGAAATGATTATTGATCTATTTACTTCAAAATTATACTTAAATAATAACATCTGTTTCAAACAGTATTGAACTGTTTTCTATTTAACAATGTTCATGCAATTTTTGTATTTAGTGTATTTACATCTTATGTTGCAGTGCTTGAAAAATTTGCATCTGTTACTGTATCAGTGAAAAAGAATAAATGTTTAAGTTCAATTTCTAGTCTGCTTAAAATTCTTGGCAATATATATATATATATTTTAAATGTTTAAAAAGGAATGGTCTTAGAGATAACACATTACACTCTGTGCAACAAAAGTTTACATAATTGGTTAAAAGTTAATGCAAATTTCTTTCTGAGGCAAATTATTTATTAAATTGTTCAGAGTTTTAATAAAAATACTTTTTTAAAACATGCGGTTTGGGAAAAGTATATAACAACATATGTGAATAGTAGGTGCAGTCCTGATTTAGATTTTTTTTAACATAAATTTCAAAAATCAAGTGTCTGAAAACAAATGCAAACAGTCATACATTCAATAAAAATAAACACCATAAAATTAGTACAGCATTTTAAACTTAAATATATATATATGTAAAAAATAAAATTAGCAGCGTAAATTAATTTCCCTTCTCTATTCTAAAAGTAGCAACATCTATTCGCACTGCGGCATTTCTAGAAAAATCTATGTCATATGACTTACGTAATTTTAATGATGTAAGCGGAACTAAAACTCTTAATAGCCAATAATAATTTTACAGCAATATTAACCATCCAATCAGAATGCTTTGAGAACCAAAACTAACTCAGTCTGACTTAAGATTTCATCCTGAACACTACGCACTTGCTTTCCACGCTTTGGCCTAGCTACACTGCTGTCTGTCTGCTCTGCTCTCTTGCTACAAAATTATCAAAAATGTAAGCCTTTTGGAACAAGCACATTTAATGTGGCAACTTGTGTGTAGCTGCAACATGTTGTCGAAAATAAATCTGAAGATTTAATCTGCATTTGTCTCCAATTTTCCTAGTCATTATGGATCTACACCTCTATGCATCAAAATTCCTCTTCCTGCTCCTGAATTTATTACATATATATGTATATTGTGCACTTATGGGACTATATCTCACTTGTTAATAAATACTTGGATAGCAGGGCAAATCAAAAACTTCACATAACTGAGACCTGCACATAATTCACTTCCCAATGAGAATGTTTATGATATAAACCAAGACAAAAAGTAAAGTTTCAGTATATAGTTTTTAAAAACATTATACAATGTTTAAAACAGAACATTAAGTACTTGCTAAATATAAAGCTGACGCAAGATCACTAACACATTTAACTATTAAAATGAAATATAAAATATAAATTTGAAAAATATAAAAGTGAACATGCAAGCATTAAAACTGAACTTACCTTATGTGCGGCAAAATATTCACAGAACAAATAATTCAAGTTAGTGGGGTGATAAGTTAAATAAGGATGAATTCATTTTCATTAAAATGTAAAGCTTTGCCAATATGCTATAAATTAACACATTTGTTACATCATCTGTTCAATATTTGTGAGAATATAAATTTTGATTTCTGAGAAGAGTAATAAAAATGTATAGAACATCACCTCTCAAAAAGATCACTTCTGAAAAACACCAATATTCTTGGGACTATAAATAAATATTGAATATTAAGCATTATTTGTCTAAGATGAGCATCTGTATAGATAACTAAAGTGTGTGGAATTGTGAATAGTCGTATTAGAGTATTCTTTTTACTGCACAGTTATTGCACAATTGCAATTCAATAGCATTAGCAGTGTACTAGATTGAAAAGCATTTTCCATCCTGTAATATAAATAATAATAATAAAATTATTTTTTCTAATTTTGCCTATATTTATACAACATTTGTAATTTAAATAATTTTTTATGTACAATATATGTTATTTAGAATTTAGAAAATTTTATAGAAACAGCTGATCGATTGAAAATATCTTTCTGTGCCTAAATAATTTTTTTTAAATGTTAAAAAAAATAATAGTTATAATAAAATAACAAGACTAACCTAGATATCAATATTCAGAGTGTTTAGCACAGAATTCCATCGGAAAATGCAGTATACATATCCTCAGGATATGAAATTGGTGAAGTCCTCAGAACATCTGAGAATCAATATCTTTAGGACATCCTCAGGAAGTTAAATTATGATGTCCTCAGGAAATTTGAGGATCAATGTACTCAGTATATCCTAATTATGCCCCGGGATATTGCAACTTAAATAGAGCCTTTCGATTATATTGTGTGCTGTGGAGGTTGTCTAAATTTCTCCAATATCTAAATTTCGGTAAGGACTTTTAGGGGAGGTACACCAAACATTGATTTTTAATTGAGCTGCTAATGCTATTGAATTGCAATTGTGCAATAACTGTGCAGTTAAAAGAATACTCTAATATGACTATTCTCAATTCCACCCACTTTAGTTATCTATAGCAACTCGTGGCTGCAAATCTTATTGTGCACTACTAGGTTGTGTTGTTCATGAAGATGCTTGAGATGAAATATCTAATTTTTCTTCATTTGAGGAGTAGTCACCCTAAGATGAGCATGCAGTGTTATGCAAATGGGAAGCTGGCTGAATGCATTTAGTCTATGATTTGGCCGAGGGCGATGCTTGAGCAGCTCGATGACTGTATCGAGAACGGTTCCCACAAAAGAGATTTAATGGACCATCGTGTTATGTGTATCACTATTTATGTGAACAATGATCTTTAAAAGGAAGTAAGTATAGTAAGTGCAGGCCACGAAGGACTTGTACACCCTCCATGGAAATAATGTGTTGGATGCCTAATGTAGAATATAATGAATCAGAGAGAAATCCAAGCATCAGGATATGTGCCATCTCTGCTGCCAAAAACGGATCACAGAATAGCATTTTTTGTGTTTTACAAACTGAATACCCATATAATCACCAAAGGGCACAGTCACTGTTTCCCGCAGATCATCATGTATATATGCATTTTGTGCAATTTTATCTCTACCAGTGTGCTCTAAATGCTCATTTCCCTTCCTTTGTTTATTAATAAGGCATATTTCTCATGAGATAACATGCTTAATGAACACAATGCAAATTCATGGACTCGTATAAACCCATGGAGTGAGAGTTCATGAGGCCCAATATTGCATCTTGTTAAATATTTGGGCTGGTTTGTTAGGCAACTGCTTAGTTTTGGCTTACCTGTTGACATCAGCAAATTGTTTTATCATTTTAGAAAGGCTGACCTTATCCTGTATCAAAGAATGGTGAGATGCAACTTATTTCAGCATGTTGGGACACCTTCCCATTATGAAAGACATTCAGAAGCATTTCAGTATGCAGTTTGATCAACAATGGATTGGGCATGGTGGTAGGCCAGATGCCTGCACCTTCTATTGTGTGGTTTTCTGAGCATAGATATTTTGTTTGGGAAGCACTTAAAGCTGTTGCGTGTGAAATGCCTGTTGAGCCTGAAATAGCTATAGTTGCAAGAATTGTCTGCACTGCTATAGATAACCAAGCAAATCCAGGTATTTTTGACCATGTCTACCAAACCATGGCCCATTGATGTAATGCACGCATTATTTCTAATGATGAAACTTTGAACATCTTTTGTAATATTATGATATGGAATCATCTACTGCAATATATATGTGATATTTATGAGCAGTAAATACTTCTGGTCATGTGAGTCTATTCAATTCTCAATCTTTTTGATGCGCCGTACCTCTCCTTAAAGTCTGCACCAATATTTATGGGACACCCTGTATTAACAAACATTGAAAAAATTTAACATCATATGATTGTTATATGATGATTAAAGCAATTTAAATTTATGTTAAGTAACAGAATCAAATTTTCAGTTTCAGAGAATTTTGATTATTATTTAAGCATTAAAATAAGGCATTAAGATTCTGCTGAAAAAAAAAAAAAAGTACTTTTGCTTACTCTTCCTTCTCTTTTATCAAAATAAAAAGAATCACAAGTATAAAGTGCAAAAATCTCAATAAATGTTCTGAGTTCAAAAATTGTTTCAAGGTTATTGGAGCTGATATAATATTCGTAAAAATAGTTTGATGTTGATAATTTTTTCCATTATATTTGGATTCGTGTAATTTCCATAAAAATAAGTATGGAAAATATTGTGATGTGTTTATGATATCTTCAGTTTTTTTTTATATTTATATATGTTTTTCATAATAATAACATGCAAAAAATGTTGTACCCTTATTTCACCAAAATTATACATATATTTTTGGAGGATTTTTTGTTTCTTTGTTCACATACACAGTTAGCCATGCAACTGATGGCCTAACTCTGCTCTTCTTAATATTTTTCATGCATGTATATTTTTGTTTATCGTGACCATTAGATATTTCATACTGTTATTTCCAAATTATTGTTGTTTTTTTAAATTAAATTTCCCCCTCCCACCACCACGATTTATATTGAATGACATACATCGGTGATGTCTTTTGTATTATATTTATGTTTTCGATCTTTGTAGCTTGAGTTTGATTGATGTAAAAATTTCATCAAGATTTCCATTATATTCATAATAGGTCATCAACGTGTTGTGCCTCGTGGTGGTCAATTGGAAGTAGCTGGGGTTGTTGTTGGAAGCTGGGGCCCAAACTATGGTCAGGGGCCTAGATCACCGAGCCGTAGTATACCTCCTCAGATTGTGTCAGTTGGTGGAGTTGGAAGGTATGTATGCATTGTACATATAGAGTGTGTTTTAATAAGAAAACTTTCATATAAACCCATTATTTAAAAATGTATGATTTTTAGAATGAAAGTGTTATTTAAATCAGTGCAGTTAATTCATAACAGAAAAATAAAATGTTAAAAGTAACAAGTAGTTCTTTCAGCTTTTTTTTTTTTTTTTTTTTTTTTTTTGTTTTTTAAATTTAGAATTTCATTTAAATAAAATACCCACAAATGAACTTTTTATGTTATTTCCCCCCCCCTCAACATGAATGTAATTGCGATGTGAATTTGAAAACTCTTCTGGCTGTTTGATTTTCAACATTTTAATGTGATTACCTGCCTCATTTTTAATGTTTTTTCTAAAAGAAACATGTTGGACCAGGACTTAAATTAAACCAGAATGCACTAGAGCAAAGGTCTGATAAATCTGAATTTTCAAGTGAAATTGTAATTCTAATCAGAGCACCAATCATGTGCATGATAGTTTAGAGATCCTGTATTTTAACGTAGTAATTAACTGTTTGTCATTAATGTATTAATTTTTATCCATATATTTTTAATTATTAATATTAAATTTGCATGCTGAAAATACATGAAATTTCATTGCATGCTGCTCCGAACTGTTACAGTGTTTGAAGTTGTTACTCCAAACTTCTGTTTTTAACTTTAAAGTTAGTAACTCATCTGTATTACTAAGTAGGAAAATTCGTTATTTTGATGGATTTGTAGTAATGAAATATGCTGCTACAACCTACTGCATTTTTGAAAGTATTCTACTCCAGAATCTGAACCAAAAATGTATCTTGCAGTCATATCTGTGAAAAAAAAAATAAACTGTTAAAAATAAGGAAACAAGCATATGTGAGAGTCTATTATTTATTCAAATTTATCCAATCTTAAACAGTTAACCTTCCCTTCCCTATGTAGTAGAAGAATATAGTTTCAACCTTTTACCTTCCAAAGAACAGTGGAGAATATGTGTACCAACAAAAAGAAACCTGGCAGGCATAACTGCCTACAGGAAAAGCGCTCTTACAGATAAATGCTCATAAACATATACATGTGCGCAAAGAAATGAATTTTCTAATTATTTTCAGTTTCTACAAAACAGTTTCTTGTTTTTGAAATTTTATCATATTTTATGTTTCAAACATTTAAGAACTTCTTAAAATTACATATTTCAATTTCTGTAAGTTTTCCTTGTAATATATATTATTTTATTCACCTTGAAAAAGCCCAACATACAAAGGGACTAATGATATTATAGCCTCACTGTTTTGTGTTTGAGCTTTAAATAATTATAAAGAGCATAAAATAGATGTAAATATATATTAGAATAATTATCACTATATTAAAAAATATGTAACAGTGCCAGAAAATTTTGTGAAGTTAATGCATCAAAATTAAGGAATAAAATAAAACTGTAGTTTCAGTGAAAGTTGTAGATAAAAGACAATTAGGATACCAGAAATATTTCATCTGATTATGAAAATTGTTGTCTAAAATATTTTAAAATTGAATTTAAAGTAAGTCTAAATGATTTAGTTATTTATGTTCACGTTATTACATAACTATGTTCTTTTATATAAATACATTTTAAAATAATTTGTGAGTTTTTCAGAACATTAGAAGGCCTAATTTTATTTTGAGAGCATTTTCCATGTTATTGTGTGGCACAAGAGTGTGTGCTAAGTGTGAAAGCACTTCCAAAAATTACATGAAAAATTATCATCAGGGGATACTGTTGGAACTCCTGATGACAGTCATCATGAAATTTTCTGGTCGGCGCTAAATCCCCGAATGCGCAGAGAGGTGACGTGGTCTTGACTTTATGCGTAAGCCGACGTCACAACGAAGCTCCGCCCAGCATCAACAACAACTTAGGTGGATGTAAACATAGTTGCATAGTTCATAACATTAATTCAGAAATCTGAAATAAGTCCATGTCGATATCTGTGAACATGTTATGTCTGAACGATTTCGAGCAATCTGCAAATTAATGTCCTTGGTTATGTTCTCCATATGAGAAAACAAAAGAATAATTAGTGATAATTTTTTAGATTGGTCTAATATGGAAAATGTAGTGTAGGTAAAAAAAATCTTGAGAAAGATAAGCTAATATCAGATTAATTTTAATAAAACTGATTCACTGACACTGGTTTGTACTAACATTATACCTTAAATAGACCTTCAGCCATCCAGGGTTTGAATTTGAGTTGAACAATTTGAAAATTCAACAGTTTTATGCACTTAAACAGGCGTAAACAGTTTTTTAAAACTGTTCTGCTGATTTCGTAATTTTCCATGGTACGACTGCTTCATCAAGTTCACCGATAAAGCCAAAGTTAGCCAAATTTGTTAAAGCCAAAATTAACCTATAAATTATTCCTTTTAAAGAATATTCAGAATAAAACTGGGATTATCATAACTTTACAATAAGATTAATAATTTAATTCACTATGGAACTGTGTTTAAATAAGAGCATAAAAATGAATAAATAAGTAGTGTTATGTGTTATTTTGTAATCAGACCAGAAGAATAGAGTCTAAGATTTTTTAATAAGCCAACTGCCTTTCTATATACACTCATGTCCATAAATTAAGGATAATGCAAAATCAGGCAAAGGAAGAGTTAGAAGCAAAACAAATGTGACTTATTTGTAAAGCTTATTTATTAAACAAAAGGTAAAGAGTAAAAAAAAATGATGCTATATGTTTGATATATTAAAAAAATTAGTGATTTTTTTTCTCCCTGGAGCAAATTACAAAAAAAAAAAAAAAAACTATTTACAAAAAACCAATATTACATGGTTGATATGATTGTTAATACATTGTATGTCTCCCAGACGATGCAATACAGTCCATACAATGCCTAAGGCATGCAGAGTATTAAATTATCAATCTGATCTTGGGGGATATTACACCACTCAAAAAGCAATGCTCTCCAAAGTTCCGGTAGACATGTAGGAGGAGGTTGACAGGCTGCAACTTGTCGGCCAAGCATGTCCCTCACGTGCTCTACTGGATTCAAGTCTGGCGAGAATGCTGGCCAGTCCATACAGGTGATATCCTCCGATTGAAGGCATTCGCTTACAATGTTTGCATGGTGAGGACGGCTGTTGTCATCCATAAACACAAATTGTGCGCCCATGGCGCCCCGAAACAAACGTACATGTTGTTCCAGAATGACGTCCCGATAGATTTGGCTTGTCATGGGTTCCATTTGAACATGCAGGTCAGTTCTGGAACCAAGAATAATTCCACTCCAAACGAGCACTCCTGCACCACCGTAACGGTGTCGTTCAATGATGTTTTCTTGGTGGTAACGGGTACCTGGAGCTCTCCATATGAAAGTGCCGGCGAGAATCAGACTGCAAGCTAAACCTGGACTCGTCGGAAAACACGTCACACAAGCCCACTGTTGCGGTGTCCACAATGCATGCTCTCTACTCCAGGCTAAACCGCAGGCGACAGTGAGTTGCAGTAAGTGGAACGCATCTGACAGGTCTACGAGCATATAGACCAATCTGCCCTAAGCGTCTGTACACTGTCTGCTTTAAAATTGTCGTACCAGTGGCTAAAGAGAGCTGACGAGACAGGTCTGAGGCTGTGCTCCGCCTATTTGGCTTTTGGCAGTAACTGCCAAATACTGGTCCTCATTCAGGCGTTGTAACTCTGGGGGCGACCTGTGCTGTAATGTCTACTCACATTACCATCATCTTGGAATCGTTGCCAAAGCCTGGAGATAGATGACACTCTAGGGCAATTCCAAGTTCGTCTGATCCTTCAGTTGGGGTATGCCCCACAGTTCCAGACGGCCGATAATTCTACCACGTAAAAAATCATCCAAATGCGTCCTTTGTGTCATAACTATTCGGTTATTGCACTGAAATGCTTATAAAGCGCCTGTCAACAATTTTACTTTTTCTTTGCCTGTATTCCTTATATATCGCTCTCTTACACTCTCGTCATTGTGATGTACCATTGGTGTCATCTGGTTACTTCCTGAAATTTGCATATGATTCTTGAAGATGTGTGTAGTAATTTTACAGTTGATATATTTATTTTAGAGTTCGATTTCCTCGTGACTCCGAATTATCCTTAATTTATGGACATGAGTGTATTTGCTATATTTTTCTCTAATCACATCATTCATCATCATCTGCAAACTTGTGAATAAAATTTATATAGTTACTACTAAAACATCTGCGTGTTTTATTGGACTTATAATGCTTGTATAATAACATATTCTTGTGAATAAATATCTGACTCTCATAACATTTTATAATGATATCGACACCAACAGAAATGAAATTACTTTGCTCCAGGCAAACTGAGATTTTTGTTTGATTTTGCTTTCAAAATCAATAGTTTTTTGCAAAATATAGGCCTCCTTTATTTTTACCCAGTTTTAAATACTTTAATTTCTTTCCCAGAGTTTAAAAAAACATACAGTTTTCATTTTCTGATTTTGAACATCCAACAAATACATAAATAAAAAATGACAGGAAAATTTCCAATTTTTTATTGAATGCTGAAATTAGGTGCATTTGAGTAAAAATTTCATTATATGATACAATTAAAAATTAAAATGTGCAAAATTTCAGGCAAACATCTTGTAAATACTATTTGCATCATTATCACATTTTTCAAACAAGACACTCACAAGTGTAAAAAAAAAATCAAGCACAATGTTCATATTAAAAATTTTATGCTCATATTTTCTCTAATAAGTATCTTTTTAAAATGACAGTGTACTTTTATCATGCATCTTAATAGTACGAGTGAAACTGATGATCAGATTTTATATGTGGTCCTCAACACAACATTCAGTGATGCAGTGTTCAATAAAAGTATAACAGAGGCAGTTTCGCAGCACTGCCTCTGTTATACTTTTATTGAACACTGCATCACTGAATATTAAAAAGAAAATGAATATCAGTTGCATAGGCTGTATCTTTACAAAAGACAAATGTAATGTAGATTCTGCCAAACTGG